ACCGGTGAGAGGGGTTTTCTTTTTGTTTTTATATCAGTTTATTTTTTAAACTGTAGAAAAAAAATGTAAAAAAAAACTGAATCCACGTTTCTTTCCGCCATAACGGACGTTTCACTTGATTGCACACTTTTTTTTGATCAGCGCAAACGCTTGATACGAGCGCCGCACACCACCCCTCATTGCCACTCGCGCAGTGGGCAGGGGGGAGTTTCTGTGGGCTCTAAAATGCTCCCCTTTCTATGTCTCCTTCCTCTCTGCTCTTTTAAGTGCCAAGATATCGCTGTGTGTTCCCTTAACTGTGAGACAGAAGAATTGCACATAATGGAGTAAAAAATTCCGAAGACAGATATTAATAAACGTTTTTAACAAAACTGAAAAAACAAAATGTGTGCGTGTTTTATTTGATCTCATTTAATCTGGTGTTATCGGAGGGCGCAATGCGCACAAATGAGGGAACAAATCAATATTCAACATTGGGGGGAATTTATCAAAACTGGAGCAATTGCCCATGGCAACCAATCAGCAGTCCTTTCTTTCATTTTCAAATCTTAACTGAACAAACTAAAGATAGAAGCTGATTGGTTGCCATAGGCAACTGCTCCAGATTTTGTCTGCTCCAGTTTTGATAAATTCCCCCCATTGAGGGGAATTTATCAAAACTGGAGCAGTTGCCCATGGCAACCAATTAGCTTCTCTCAGTCTGAGGCGTGGTGTCACCCGGAGCGGGTATTGTGAGTACTTCAGACGCTGTTACCTGCCGGTCGCCATCTTTGTGATGGACACTGGTAAGAGAGAGGGGGGGGACGTTGACCTGGCGGTATAAGGTATGCTGCCAGGTCCCTTCCTCCTGCAACTGTCGGGCTCTCGGTCCATGACCAACTCCCCGACTTTCCAGAGGGAGTGACACCTAGATGACTGCCAGTCATTTTGGTGTCACCGGGGTGTGTGGGCCACACCCCCTTTGTTACGCTACTGCTGTATCCTATCATATGCAGGCACTGTTCAGCAACGCCATTCTATCCAAAAAGCCGGCAGGGAAGATTCCTCCATCCACCCTATTAAGCGTGTGTGTGGCTACCCTAAGGCACTGCTGCCTCTGACTTCTAGGGGTTGATTTACTAACCTTATAAACACGCCACGAACATGTATACACCTCTGTAGTGTGTTCCCTCCCAGCATGATCTATTGGTGGAATCTAGACACCTTTGTAGTGTGTACACACCCAGCAGGTGTGTTGTGCAAAGCCAAGCATGAATTGCAAGGTGATGTTGTGTAAATTAGCTCTATGTTGTGTTGCTTGCGTTGATGAATGCAGGAATGTAAATGCATGAGCTAACCATTTTTGTCTAAACTGTGAAGCAGCATTATATATGCATCATGTGCATGATTTTTCCATATATGGCATTAGTGGAAACATGCTTTTAGAGACTGTTTGGTTGATAAATACATTTTGCTGTGTAAAAATCACATGCACCTAGTGCGTGCATGTGTTTTAGGTTAGTAAATCACCCCCCTAGTCTCACAAGACTTGGTGGTGCCATTACCGTGCTCATGATTCCACTTGCTAATGGCCTTTAGGTGAGGAAGAAAAGCCCTGCCTCTACCAAGATGGCCACCTCCACACAGAAACACTGTGCAGTATAAGGAAGGTTAACTCAGAAATGGGGAAAGATGGGTAGCAGGTAGATCACTGGCGATAGTGTTGACGAGTCTCTGCTTGCCTTTGTTTATACATCGCTTGTATTATAAACAATTGGCATTTTTTATTCATTGATGGAAGGTTTTTCTCAGGGTGTGTTTCCCAATGGTGACAACAGTGGACCAGGCCTGGGTGACTTGTGCTAAAATGTCCACATGTAATCTCCATCAGAAGCCTGGGTGGCAACACAGGAGCACAACTAGGAGTGAGGGATGGAGTGTTGTCACCGTATGACATGAAACAAGGACCATCATGGCAGAATCACCAGGTATTACTTTAATGAAACCTGCAAATTTAGCTACACTGAGAGTGTCCTTTGAAATTACATTAAAGATGAAGTTTAGTTGATTTGGGTTACACAGGACCGGAATCATAACTCCCCTTTAATGAAATGTCCCCCCCCCCCCCTCACTGATTCTGGATCCTCTTCTCAGCGACGGGTTGATTGTCTCTGCTGTAATAGTGAAGGAATGTGCTTGCCCTCCCCTTCCAGTCACAGAATTCCTGGCATTCTTTTCAGAGAGTGGCAAAGCAATGGTGTGAATGGAGGAGGGGCAGATGAAGGACAGTATCCCCTCCTAGCACGCTGATCATACCATAAATGACCCAGAATGGAGGGGCTAGTCCAGGGGTGGGGAACCTCTGGCCCACAAGCTGTAGTGAAACTACAAATCCTTTGAAACATTGCAAAATTCCCACAGCCACGACTCCCAGAGACAGATGCATCATAGGATTTGTAGTTTCCCCACAGCAGGAGGTTGCCCACCCCTGGTCTAGTCCAAGAGTGGGTAACTCCAACCCTCCAGTTGTTGTGGAACTACAAGACCCATGAGGCATGACTCCCAGAAACAGAGGTATGATGGGGTTCACAGCTGGCGGGCCGGAGTTGCCTGCCTCTGGTCTAGTCTGATATGGAAAGGAGGCGTGTAATCTTCGGTTGCCCCCAAAGGATAAAAAGCTGCCACTAGCCGTAGAGCCCTGTCGCACCATGTCCGGACCAGATCTGCACACGGTTCTGCAAACGTGGTGCAGTGCGTTTGTAGCACATTTGTCAAGCAAAACAAATGGACTACTGAACGCCCGACAGTATCAGGAGAGAGGAGGGGACCCGGCGGCATACCTTATCTCACCGGGTGGCTGTCTCCTCCTCTCTCTGCCGGCATCCATCACCAAGATGGCCACTGGCAGGTATCGGAATACTGCCGCGCATGCGCGGTGACGTCGGGCCGCCCCTGCCTTAATCTTCTTGCCCCTGCCTTCATATTTATAGGTGCTCCCACAAAGCCATAAATCAGACATTTTACAGTGATCCTAAACCCCAAAAACAAAACTATAAACATATTGCAGTTTACCAGCCCATAGATGTGGTGGCTGCATTAGTTTTCTTTTTCAGACATTTTCACCTGGTCACCCTGCAAATACCACACTTCCTGTCTCTTTGCAGCTACGCTGCCCTCTCCATTGTATCTATTCATCATAGGATTTGTAGTTTCCCCACAGCAGGAGGTTGCCCACCCCTGGTCTAGTCCAAGAGTGGGTAACTCCAACCCTCCAGTTGTTGTGGAACTACAAGACCCATGAGGCATGACTCCCAGAAACAGAGGTATGATGGGGTTCACAGCTGGCGGGCCGGAGTTGCCTGCCTCTGGTCTAGTCTGATATGGAAAGGAGGCGTGTAATCTTCGGTTGCCCCCAAAGGATAAAAAGCTGCCACTAGCCGTAGAGCCCTGTCGCACCATGTCCGGACCAGATCTGCACACGGTTCTGCAAACGTGGTGCAGTGCGTTTGTAGCACATTTGTCAAGCAAAACAAATGGACTACTGAACGCCCGACAGTATCAGGAGAGAGGAGGGGACCCGGCGGCATACCTTATCTCACCGGGTGGCTGTCTCCTCCTCTCTCTGCCGGCATCCATCACCAAGATGGCCACTGGCAGGTATCGGAATACTGCCGCGCATGCGCGGTGACGTCGGGCCGCCCCTGCCTTAATCTTCTTGCCCCTGCCTTCATATTTTATAGGTGCTCCCACAAAGCCATAAATCAGACATTTTACAGTGATCCTAAACCCCAAAAACAAAACTATAAACATATTGCAGTTTACCAGCCCATAGATGTGGTGGCTGCATTAGTTTTCTTTTTCAGACATTTTCACCTGGTCACCCTGCAAATACCACACTTCCTGTCTCTTTGCAGCTACGCTGACATCTCCATTGTATCTATGGAAGGAGCCATGGTTGGACTTCTATCATCTCCGCCTTTACACGGCCGATGATGGATCTTTTCTGCTCATAGGAAGTTCCAAGATATCGATATTAAAGCCACACAGACTGGACACCGTTTCTCAGTTTAAAAAAAATATATATTTTATTCATTACTGTGTATGTCTGCAGATATGTGGCAGTGCTGCGGTAGTCTCTCACATGGAGTTCCTGTCCAATGGGAAGCAAAATGACCTGTAATAACCATATGTAACTTGTAAACTCCATACACAGGGCCGGCTGGAGTCTATGTGTTATGTGAAAACAGCACGATAAGTAAAATAAGGAGAGCAACCACTAAAACGATGATCGCACACCACTGCCGCCGGTCTGCAAGAGAGGAAAAAAAGTCTGATTATTGATAATTAATCCCCTAAACATGTATTCACCTCATCTAAAGGGCAGCTCATTTACTAGAGACCATAGACATCACTGAGATCCTTCATATTCATGAGAACACAGCCCGTCCATTCTCTAGAGACCAGTGACATCACTGAGATCCTTCATATTTATGAGAACACAGCCCGTCCATTCACTAGACACCAGTGATATCACTGAGATCCTTCAGATTCATGAGAACACAGCCCGTCCATTCACTAGAGACCAGTGACATCACTGAGATCCTTCATATTCATGAGAACACAGCCCGTCCATTCACTAGAGACCGGTGACATCACTGAGATCCTTCATATTCATGAGAACACAGCCCGTCCATTCACTAGAGACCGGTGACATCACTGAGATCCTTCATATTCATGAGAACACAGCCCGTCCATTCACTAGAGACCGGTGACATCACTGAGATCCTTCATATTCATGAGAACACAGCCCGTCCATTCACTAGAGACCAGTGACATCAC